GGTCCAGTGAGGGCTCGGGTATGAACCCACACCCCCGAGGTTAATGAATACGACCCCTCCTTGTTTTTTTTTACATTGACATCACAATCACACTTAAGCATTTGTTAACTGAAAGTGAAATGAGCGACATTTCAACAGGAGGTTGAAAGCAGAGCCTAGATACGACTTGTCTTCAAGTCGACGACACGGGCAGATGGCGGTCAAAAACAGCTGTTTTCGCATTTCTGCTTAAATGTGGGACTGGACACTAAGCGCTCATCTGATAGACTGCAGGAGTGACTAAGCAGTCAAACAGCCCGGACCCTTGCAGATTAGAAAGGACGGAAACTGAGCGCCACGCACACGCTCCCAGCTCCGAAGGAACAGAAAAACACTCGCGATTTTCGGAGTGAGAATTCCTCTCCCCTTCGTGACAAGCCGACACTGACAAACGGGATTCCCTCGAGTGGGGGAAAACTCGGTGGAAGAACATTTTCTTACAACCTAATAAAAATGTCCGGCACAGGTCGGTGATCGGCGAACCGTAACACTGCAACGAGAGGTAAAAGAGTCACTGGAAGTCCCACTGGCGGAGTGACCGGACCGATACACGCATCCCCCACCCCGCGACCTGCCCCTGAAGTGGGCCGCCCTTCTCGTACACACACGCCGGAGACTTCAGAAAGTTGCGTTTCGCATCTCAAAGCCCCGTTTCCACGGAGGCGCCTTGGGTTTTCCTTGGCTTCGGCAGAGGCTCGTTTCCAGCCAGAGCAACTCTTCTGTCATCACTTGCGACACTCGCCCACCCCACTCCACGGGTGGGGACCCCCCTCGCCGCGCGTCCGAGCTGGCTGTCTAGTTAAACACTTCACGCGAGGTCAGACAAGGACCGAACACTGCCTGTATACCCTCCTCCTCCTCCTCACTCCACGCAGGGCTTTTCAGTCACTCACTTCGTCCTGATCGCAAAGAACCAGCAGTGTGGGGAGTGGGGTGCCGACAGCCGGCAGATGACCGTGGGGACGGGGGAGGTTTTCTGAACGGCCACCGGCACGAGTTCCTCGGCCGGACCGCCTCCAGCGCCGGCGGCCCGGCGGGAGAGAGCTCTGCCGGGGGGCACGGCAGCTCCGCCGGGCGATGCTCGTACTCACCATGTCGTACACGTTCAGGATCACCGGCTCGCTGGCCATCCTGCCGCCGAAGGAGATCGCCGGCGGCGCCGAAACAGCCCCTTCCTCCGCGCTCCCGTCCAGTCACTCCTCCCCGACCCCGACTCCTCCTAGTTCGGCGCCGGGCTCCCGCATGCGGCTCCCGCGGCCCCAGCCGGAGAAGCGCTCGGCGGCTACAGCCGGGGCAGCAGGCAGCCGGGCACAGCGACAGGCGAGCGACGCGGGACGGGGTTTCCGGAGCAACATACACGTTTTCCGTTAGGTACTGCCATCCAGAGCCGCCAGAAAAAACGCGCTCGGCGACGAAAGTGGAGTCGGGTGGACTCGATATGAAAAAAATGAAAAAAAAAATCTTTTTTTTTGTTTGTTCAGCCACGCTTTCCGCCGAAACGCGCCCCAATAGCTCCACTCCAGCGCGAGGCTGTGGGAAGCGGCTTTTTCTTGGAATCCCCGAGCTTGAAATCGGCGATCAGTTTGTTTGGCCTGGTGGGCAGCTCGGCGATCTGCTGCCCTGGCCTGAAATTCCCGCCCTCTCTGTGGAGGACTGGAAGCGAGCGAGCGAGCGCCGTCAATGGCGGTGGAGTTTCAGCGTCCGAAGTGTTGCTTCTGAACTCGCCGAGTTCCTGTTTGCAGCGCTGATTCAGTTTGCTTCAAACCTGGATGTACTTCGTGAGCTCGCAAATTGGAACAGTGCGCTGCGTTTCAAGATCGATGTGCGTCCCTCACGTCCTATAGGCTGGGGGTGGGTGAGGGTGGCTCTTCACGGACTCCCACTTTGCATTTCGCTATAAATGTCTCCAGAAACTAAATAGGTAACGGTATCTATTCCAAGTACCGCCGTTAGGGAATTACTTCCAATACGTATAGCAAAATATATGGGGACAATTCGTATTGTCTGATATATGTTAGTCGATCTGAATCTTACCTCAGTAAATTGCAATTTCCCTCACGGGATCAATAAAGTATCTAATAAAAACAGCAGACGTTACGTGTAGATGTTTTTCGGCCTTACGTCTCAAGCCTTGCCTGTTCCGTTGTTTAGAGGTGAAGTCCTCTATAAACGCGGAAGGGTTGAAAGTAAAATGCACACCTCCGTCAGCTTGCACTGGGCAGGATAGAACAGGATAAAAGGCTCCGTTCGGGACCAGAGCTGGGCTGACAGAAAGTGGTAACTGTGTGGAAAAGGGGGCAGTAGGGTCAGACCAACTCCACACTGTCACTGGGAACCAGAAACGTGTCAGAAGTGGAACCACTGTGACTTCACTGGTCCGGGTGGCTTGCTTTGATAAAACGGGACTGGCGCTAACCGAGTGTGCTGAGCCAGTGTGTTTGCCTTCTCAGACTTCCAGATATGGTTGTGAACATTTTCTTGCCCTCGGGTAATAGCTGCTAAATTCTGAATTGTCAATCGGTGCTCCAGAATAAAGTCTGTTTAAAAATCTTGTTGCGCTCACTGGTTAAATTAATAAGGTAATGACTTACTATTCTGTCTACAAGATGGGTTTTTCTCTTTCACAGGTAACCTTACTCCCGCCGAGGGCCAATAGATCTTCACTCTTTTCTATTTCTTCATAAAAAATAGTAATTTAAGTACGTGTTCTGGTATTGTACAGTACAAAAAGTGAACTGACGGATTGCCATTGTCATTATATTGTAAATGGCAATTTGTTAATTCACTTATCTGGTTATATAAAAGATCACATAAAAAATATTCTAATTTGGACCTCTAATGAATTAAATAGTTCTAACTAAAAAAATGTAGTGGTATTTGCACAGCTGTGGCTTAAATAGTATCCTAGCTGTAAAATCAAATATATATTTTTAACAAAGAAACTCTGTTGCACTTGTGTTTGAAGAATCTGATACTCTTTTAGTTTTATTATAAGTGAATGCTTCCATAGTGTTTTATTTTCTTTAGATTTGGACCAACAAAGAATCTAATAATTGTCACGTCTAACAAAAGATCTGTACATGAAGAGAAAGGGGTTTAGAAGCTGCTAATGACTCATTAGACATAAGAATAATTACAAACAGGAGGAGGCCGTTAGGCTTTACATTAGCTAGTAGCTAGTTCATCTTCTAGACATTTGTTGACAGGAAGCCAGATGGCTTGAAAGTCATGGCTGGGAAGCTTGTTCCAGCTTTGGGTAAGGATGTGCCGCCTGTTCTGTTTTGAGACCTCGGATCCCTGTCGCCCTGTTCATTCTGAAGGCGCCCGGTGGGTTGCCTCTGTCCGGACCTCTGAGGTTTCTGGATACCTGGATCAGTGTACTGGAGGAGCAGCTCTGCTGATCCAGGTCGGTGGGTTTTCCTGAGCTCCACGACCAGGCTTGCGTGTCTGGACTTAATGAGGCCACGATGAAACCCTGAAAACCTTGACTCACCACATGACTCAGTCCTGCCCAGACAGTCTCGGCTCAATGCGTACCAAATACATCACAGGAATCACAGCACGGCTATGTTTAGGCGGGACAGATATTTTTGCTTCTTATTTATATTCCTTCCTTTAAAGCAGATTGGGTGCCACGTGGGTTTTTAAGAAAGCTCCTCGAAGAGGCTTTTAGTCATAGTTGAATGATTGTATATCTCATTTTCTGTAAACCTTTCAATTGGTCATTCAGAAGTTTTCAAATTAATGGTCCCAGTTTAAGTAGAACTTGGTTAAAATTGCCTTGATTTTTCTTAGTCTCTTATATCATTTTGCTTTAAGAAATGTATGTGTAAAAAGAGCAAATCAGACATTAAAACAAAATTAATGGAGAAAAGAGTACTTTATTGAACTATTAAATGTACAACTTAACTGTAACAAATTCATGTCACTTGTGAAAACCTTTCTTGTACATTCAAAGTTATCTCTATATAAGAAGAAATGTTCATTTTTTTATTATGAATAACAATCCATCCATTTCCTTCAAGTGACAAGCTAATCATCACTGTTTGCCTTCACACAGTTAAGTGGGATATTTAACATTACTGTTTGTCTACAACTGGGTTATTTAACATTTCCCGAAAAACTTTTATGTATCGAAAGTAGGTGCAGATCAATACCCCAGTAACAATCAATGTGACCATCATTGCTGTAGTTCCGGTAAATACTCCAAAATTGCTGCAACGACAAACACCCATGAGTTATCAAGATAGCTGTCAGAAAAATTCAAACCACATTTGTGTCCCTGTTGGTCAAAGGAGGAATTACCGAAAACCCTTGATGAGCTATATCCCCAATCACACAGGGCTTTGATGAAATCATATAACTTACTCTAACTGAAAAGAACAGGAAAACAATAAAGACACAGCTACAGAATTTGATTAGTTTGGCTTTTATTGTATTTTGGCCTTATTTTGAATTTTTGTATTTGTATTGGTACTTCCTCCTGTTTGCAATTTGAAAAAACCATGACATTTTAAATAAATTCATAACGTCATGTGGACCACAAGGTTTATACAAACATGTCTGGGTGTGGCAACATCTTCAGCATGTTAAAGAATCACAGACAAAAATCAATGCACCTTAGAGGCAGGCCTTAAGAACTTTAACAGAGATTGTGCACATTCCAATGTGAGCATTGCTGCTGGTACAAGACCGCTAATTCAAAAAGAAATCTTTTTATGAATTCGGAATCAACAGTTATGTTTCTCATTTTATTTGCTGCCGAATTTGACTTGCCAGTTGTGAATGAACACAGGGTATGGTTACACACTCTGTGCCAGTGCAGTGAGAATATGGGTTGGCACAACACCTCTCAAGCACCTTGTGTTGAGCCAGTCACCCTTGGCACTGGCTGCAAACTGCTTTGTGCACAGTGGACAGTCAGCACCACTGTAGGGCTGATGGCTGCTCTCAGTGTAGACACCCCACTAGTGCCCAGAACATGCCAGGGCTCACTGTTACACAAGGGGCTGTGTGTACCCTGCCCAGCTCAAGCCCACCGAGCCCCATCAGCGCCCCCCACAGCTGGTGAACACTTTCCTCATGCTTTCTTATTAAGTGTTCATTGTGTAATTACATGCCCAAAGGGTGTGGGGGAGTTTGCCTTGTGGGCAATCTAGACACCTTATCCCATGAGAATGTATGTAAGTCTGCCTCTTGTTGTCATGTGGTGCTGCCTTCTTTTTGCAAAAGGCGAAACGGAAGAATTTGCTCAGTGGCGTTTTCTTGTTTTCTGTAACATTCCACTCCAAAGGACTGCTCTTACAGCAATACCCACGCATTACAGACAGGTTTTGTTGTGAAAAACAAGAGTGTACTGTAGTCATGCACAGAGGTATGGTCACAAGTCAGAATGCTACTGCCACGGGGCATGCAGACATTGCAAAACACAGCCTGCCCAGTCAGACGTTATTTCATAAATAACTGAAAAAAAAAGCCTATTCAACTTCGCCTAATCTGATGGATTACCCCTCAGAGAGTCTGTTCTGGACCCAATGTCTGCAATGAACATGAATAACATGAGAAGTAAACAGAATGGATGAACCTTCAAGTCTGATTTTTTTTTTTTGAATTTGTTTTAGATTTTTTAGAAATCTTCCTTCCACTCTTACCTTGTGACAACCCCATAGGTCTGTACAGCAAATACAGCTTGCAGGTCGCAGAAACTGAAAAGATAATTGAGTCAGAAATCGTTAAGAGTCACACAGAGTTCCACTGATTAAAAACTGGTCACCCTGTGCAAATAGCGAGAAAACACTGATTGTGACAAATGTGGTACTTTGGAAATGTCATGTAAAGAGTGTAATGGAATAATGTAAATTGATGTGTCTCACAAATGTTACATTCTTTCATTTTCTTAATATGTCTCTTCTGTCACTGCTCACAGAGTGGAAAAAGCAGACTGCTTCACCTCCCACAGGGTCTCTAGTGAATCCACTCATTACCTTTCTTGTCAAAGAAATCTGTTTCTTTCTTTCAAAACTATGCTCAGATTTAATCACTAACCTAAATTCCTGAAGTTCTTGACTCAGGAAACATTCCCAAGCACCCATATACAACAGTACACATGAGTGTCTTCAACACAGAAGTGGTAACCTGCACCACCATTTTAAAACTGCATGAGTCAGCCTGCAACTGGTGAGTTAAAACAGACCCAAGACTGAGCCCTGAAGTACAACAGAAAATCCAACAGGTTAGCTTTGTTAGCCGCTTCAGGAGTACAGCACCAGGTGAGAAATCT